CTATCCAAAACTGAGACAGATTTGGATGTGACTTTGTTGGTATTGGGCAGGGGACACATTTTGGACAGCACATTGCTATGCATCCTCCAGCAGGAGTGGAGTTATGCCATTCCCGGAAGTACCAAAACGTCTGGTATCCTGGGAATATGTGAGTGGCCCCCTTACAAATGTGGGCACATACAGAGACTGGGGACTTTAGGTTTTGTGGTGGGTGGGAAAAGCGTGGAAAATGGTATGGTGGGGAAGGGAGCATGGGAGAGACAGATCCCTACCAGGTGGCAGAGTGGGGAAATGACCAGGAGCACAACCCCTGGACTGGGGAGGGGAAATGGGAAAGAAGGTGAGACAGTGATATGGGGGAGGAGGACAAATAAAACATAGACAGGATGGCTTCAGAAGGTCCATGAAATTGTGGAAGATGGAAGCATGGCATACAGGGAGCTTGTCAGAGGAATGAAGGGAGTCAAAGAGCCTATGGTGTGCTTCTTTATGCTCTCATCAAACAGTGGTGGGCAGCTTGTGTACCATTGGGGTTCTATGTGTGGCCCATGAGACGTTTTGTTTACAGCTGCACAGGATTGCTAGATTTTGCTCGTTTCCATCCATGTCGTTTTTTCCCCCAATTGGTATTATTGAAGTGACATGTACATAAATCAAGGGTACATGAAGTGAGGTATGTGCTGATTGCATACAAAATTGACCAAGAGAGTCCTTCATGTCCCCTACAAAGTGCTGCTATGGTTCAGTTAGCATGCCCTGCAAATTCTAGATATGCAAGTACAGTTAGCAAAACTGCTCTATCCCGGGAGACCGTCAGGGTTATGACAATCTTTCAGCCCACTGAGGTGAAAGAGGGCCAATCCTACATTCCACTCACTAGCCTAGGTTGTTCACCACTTCTACAGAAGCAACAAGTGTGTGACCTTCTAGTTTGTTGAATATTGATGTATATACATGCATTCTTTGTGCTGCTGTTTCTCTGTAAAGATACATAGCGAATTGTATCAAAAGCCGCATATACTTATTTCTTTTTATTTCTTTGAATGTTCACAATTCTATAGTCCAAAACTCATGGCACTCCCCTCTCTTGTTCCCCTTCTCTCTGTCACCCACGCTTTATTTAAGGCAAGACTACATAACTTGATGGTAGAGTGGGAAATTGGGGCTATGGAGTCAAAATGCTTTTAAATGATACTAGCAGGCTGCGCCCCATGCTAGCTACACTTGCCAACCCCCCTCTCTCTGGCAGCTTTTGCAGCTGGAGAGCGCGATGACGTCGTTTTGTTGTCTGAGGGAGAGGGGGAGTCATTCATTCCTGAATAGAGGCGGTGGTACTTTTAACTGTCTACACTAGTTGACTGCAGTACTGACTGCACTCAGTGCTAGGAAAGCTTCAAGATCTGGCATTTGTTAATGCAAGCATTTTGAAAAAAAATAATCCTTCATTTCTGACGTATTTGCAGTCATATGCACAATCGGAGTCTTCTGCAGCTTTTAAGTGTTAAGTTGTTAATAGCTGAAGGAGCTACACTCAGATTTTTCCATGTACCTTTATACTCCAAAATATATAATGTATGTTTCTTTATGTGGAAGGGAAGAAGAGAATGTATATTTAATTTGTAGCTGGAATTTGGAATGGAAGAGAATGTATATTTAATTTGTAGCTGGAATTTAGAATGGATTTTTTTTTTTTTAAATGATGGCTTGTATTTTATTTAGGATGCTGAAGAATTTCCGGATCTGGCATCTGCTTCTGACAGAACAAACAGAGTGGGGACTCAGAAATCCACTTACACTCCTCCTGTGAACAGAATACAGCCTGAAGTAAGAAATCTTGTTAGATGACTCCCATATACTTACTTTGTATCTCCAAAAACCAAACAGGAAAAAAATGGAAACTTTAAAATGTTGGATTTTCTTATTAGTTGTGCTTCTATTTGGTGACGAGCTTACTCTTGGAATGTGTAAAAGAAAATGGACTGGGTGTCTATTGCAGTATTGTAGCCATGTTGGTCACAGGATATTAGAGAGACAGTATGAGTGAGATATCTTTTATAGGGCCAACTTCTGTTGGCGAGAGAGCAAGTTTTCAAACTCAGAGAGCTCTTCTGTATGCCATATGTAAGCTAGAAAACCTATCTTTCTCACCATTTGAACTTGGTCTAATAAAAGATAAATTACTTCACCCACTTACTCAGCAACAGATACCCATGAGACTATCTTCAGCTTCCGGCTTTGCAGCCTGATCAGTGATACATACACTCAATATATATCTAGGGCAACTGGAATCCTAAATTCCAGTGCCAGTCTGCAGCAAGGGCAAGAGCTGTGCTGCTTTTCGGTAAAAGTAATCTACCTGCATATGTATTCCTTTCACTATTTTCCAACTTCAAAATCATTCTGCAGAGAAGGAGCAAATCTAAGGCTCAGTTTATACTTTCAACTTATGTCTGCACAATTACATCACTCGGGCTGAGGTTATACTTTCAACTTATGTCTGCACAATTACATCACTCGGGGTGAGGACAAGTGATGTAGCTATACCAGCCTACCCCCAGTATAGACAGCTCTTTGTTGATAGGAGGTTAGTTCTCCTGTCTGCATAGGTAGAGTCTTAGCTAAGTGTCACGGTAGCACTGTGAGTTTAGACAATCCTGAAGCCATTTCTATGTTACACTGGAGTAATGTTTCTCAACCTTTGGTATGTGACCTGCAAGAAGGGGTGAAGAATATGATAAAGTATTTAAAACTTTTCTTCCAAAGTGAAACCTACAAAATTCCTAAAGTAACATCAAGGCAGCTCGAACCTTCAAAGGTTGTGAGGTTAAAACATGCTCTTAAAATTCTCACACATCATATAGGCTTATCATTTTTTGTGTTGCAACAAATGTAGAGGAGTCACAAAAATATTTTTCATCACCAACCAGAAAAGATTGACGCATTGAATTGGAAGAACCTAGATATGATCATAGTAGGAAAACTAGAACTACTGAAGGAAGATAGAGAGCTTGGATTGAGTTGACCAGTGTAGCAGCCAATAAATGCTCACTTTCTTAGGGAAACTTACTGTTCGCTATTTCAGCTCAGTGTCTCATTTCCTATTAGTGTAGGTAAACTGGCCTATTCCTTTATCCCCTGGCATATATTCACATTGCTTACACTTTGGTGTTTTAAGTCTTTCTGTCTTTAAATTTCAAAGGTACCTCTAACCAGAGAGTCCTGTGATGCATCCAATTTTGGAGTCCCTGTAATAGCAGGGAAAAAACCAGGGAAACAGGCTTCATCTGCTACACTGGAAAGGAAAAAAACCCAGGTAAACCAATACCCATGCAACTAAGTGATCACAGGCTGAAATTGCAAAAAAAACCCTAACATATTTAGCAATAAGGACGAAGAGCTTTGAGCTTACATGCAGATTTGTTTCTATTTCTGAATCTGCAGTAAATGGCCTGATTCTTTAGTTGAAAGCACTTGACACCTGTGAAAATCAAGGTACTTTAGGTTTTCAGGTGGGGGAAAAATTGGCTAATGCATCTTTTCACTTATTTTTATAGTGTATATGTTTTAAGTATTGATGATCATCCCCTTAGCTCATCTGACTTGATCATGACATGCCTTGTCCTAAACCAGTGTCTTAAAAATTCAGAAGCTGAAGCCTTAAGGATATTGCATGTCCAGATGTTGTATCTTCTCTTCTACATCCAGCTGTAGGCATGTCATTTTTAAGCTGTGGAAGAAAAGCAACTTTTGTTTAGGGCAGCAGTGCTGCCCCCAAGCTACCTTTTAAGATATAAGGGTATGTCTACACTACCACCCTAGTTCGAACTAGGGTGGTAGTGTAGACATACCCTTATATCTTAAAAGGTAGCTTGGGGGCAGCACTGCTGCCCTAAACAAAAGTTGCTTTTCTTCCACAGCTTAAAAATGACATGCCTACAGCTGGATGTAGAAGAGAAGATACAACATCTGGACATGCAATATCCTTAAGGCTTCAGCTTCTGAATTTTTAAGACACTGGTTTAGGACAAGGCATGTCATGATCAAGTCAGATGAGCTAAGGGGATGATCATCAATACTTAAAACATATACACTATAAAAATAAGTGAAAAGATGCATTAGCCAATTTTTCCCCCACCTGAAAACCTAAAGTACCTTGATTTTCACAGGTGTCAAGTGCTTTCAACTAAAGAATCAGGCCATTTACTGCAGATTCAGAAATAGAAACAAATCTGCATGTAAGATCGAACTAGGGTGATAGTGTAGACATACCCTAAGAGAAGGTGAGGTATGCTGACTTATTCTCCTATCCCCCCCCCAAAATCTTCCTGGATCATTCCAGGATTCATTAGCACGTCACCGGGTCTGTATTGTTCTCTATAAACTTTGAAAAATGCTTTCAGTGGTTCAGTGGGCTCTTCAAAATTATTTTCAGCTTGTTATCAAACAGGTGATAAGGCAAACTTGTAACCAGCCATGCAGAGCTAGACTGTAGCATGGCCTGGTAATAGAAGTAAATCCGAATTCCCTAGTGTCCTGCTCCCTGGCTTGGCTTGTTATTGGTTTGGTACCTTATTAAAACGATGGCTGGGGCTCTGAAGGAAAAAAGTAACAGTGATTCAGGAAAGTGATTTTAGATGGGGCATTGCTTACTCTGGCATTGTTTGTTACAGAAATCATGGAGGGCCACGATCCAGCAGCAATCTTTTTTTTGTCTTATTTTGGTAGCTATAAAATGACAGGGGAGTCATTTTGTTAATTCTGAATAAGAATTTAATTTTTAAGTGTAGGCCAGGCCTAAGGTTGCAGAAAGTGCTATGACAAATTTTGCACCCCACATATGTGGTTAGGTTGACTTCGACCCTGGTGTAGAAATAGCGAGATTGATGAATTGACCTCTGTCCCAGCTCAGTTCCCCAACCTGGCACTTCGAGTGTAGATATTGGGGGCTGGCTAGCAGATTCAACTCTATAAGAACCTGTCTCTCAACTCCCAGAGACAAACTTGTCCAGTCTCAGTTTCCCTAGTTTCCCTGAAAATATAAAATAAAACCTTTTCCAGAGAAGAAACCAATTGAAATCACTTCCCTGAGGCAAAGCTGTCCCCCATTTCGCAACCTCCGTTTTGCTTGGAGTTGGGAAAACAGAGATAAGCTGCAGAGAACAATGGGGTCTGCTTCTTTGTTAATGTGGTTTCACTTGGGCACTTCAGGCATTAGGTTTAAGGACACAAAAATCAACCAATACTGGTTAACCAAAACAATAAGAAAACACTTTTATTATTAAAACAAGACTACTGTTGCAAGCATAGTAAACGACTGGGTGTTAAAAGCCATGGATTGAAATAGACCCAAGGATTCTCCCTAGGCTGTAATTCTTAGTTACAAAAGAGAAGAGAAAAAGCAATTAACCAGCCCTGATATGATTTCCAGACCCCAAAACAAGGAAAACAATAAAACCTGACAGACTATCTAAACTTTTTCCTACTTACACATGTTAATGGATTTAAGGAGTCTGTTCCTGAGAGAGTCAGTCTCTCTTGCTCTGTACCTGGGAAAAACTGCTGCTGACTCCAAAACAAAGGAGAAAAAAATCTCGTTTGTAATTCCTTATCTTCATTTCATTGACTGAATGCCCAAAGCCCCCTCCCTCATGTGCAGCTCCAAGTTAGCTTAACCCTTTCCTCATTCTCCAGGTAAGTCAGACTCTCCCTTGCGGCTCCCATTCACGAAAACCTCACTGCCACTTCTTGGAGTATATCAGTGGAAGAACCCTTCTGCTGATATGCGAAGTGTTTGTTGTTAAATTGCAATAATAAAATCAAGACCATAACTCTTCTATACATTTAGATCTATAATTAATTTTATCTCTCTAAAATAAAAATGGATTGAATATTTATCCTATATATTTCTGAAGTAAAATTAATAACTCCAGTAAGCCTTAGTAAAAGGTACCTGATAGAGGGTATGTCTATACTTGCCCCCTAGTTCGGTCTAGGGAGGCAAATGAAGCATACCGAAGTTGCTAATGAAGCGCGGGATTTAAATATCCCGTGCTTGATTAGCATATTCGCGGCTGGTCGCCATTTTAAAATGCCATTCGCCCGATTTAGCTTGCTGCGGAGTAACAGTTAATTCAAGGGAAGGGTTTTGGATCGGACTACCGTGTCTACATGCAGCAAGCTAAATCGGGCGACCGGCATTTTAAAATGGCGACCAGCCGCGAATATGCTAATCAAGCACGGGATATTTAAATCCCGCGCTTCATTAGCAACTTCGGTATGCTTCATTTGCCTCCCTAGACCAAACTAGGGGGCAAGTGTAGACATACCCATACTTCCTAAAGCAAAAGCCAGTTCAGTCCTGAAATTTCTGCTGATGCTAGTATAAAGAGGTTTCTTTGATGCTGGGTTTTAGTAGATGTCAAAAATGTACATCAATAAACCAAAACAATCATTGTTCAAAAGATTTGAAGATATTTTTCTACTTGTTCTGATCTTTAAACACAGGTATTCCTGAATTAATGTGTCCATAGTAGATTGTAGAGCACACGAAATGCAGCCTCTTAAAATCTAAAATGGGATAATCCCAGTTTTATTCCTGTCTTCCTTAGGAGGCTACTAAGGGCAGTGGAAAGAAGAGTCAGATTCCAATGCAGTTGGATTTGGGAGGCATGCTGGCTGTATTGGAGCAGAAGCAATATGCAGAGAAATCGAAACAGTCCTCCAAGCCTGTGGTGCTTTCAGGTACAAGACAAGCTATGATTAGATTTCCTTTCTTCATATCAACTGTTGTAGTTTCAAATATGGGAAATTTAAAAAATAGCCTCAATTTTAATGAGTGATAATTAAAGGAACAGCCCCACATTGTTTAGCTGGAAACTATCTTTTCAGATGTGTGCCATTCCCCCATGCTGACCTATTTGGCCTTTTTTCAGTTTTATGATGTAAAGACTTGGCCAAAGTGTATTTCAGCTTGGCATTTTGGTTTTGTTTTTAAAATAAAAGCAGTTTGGTCTTCCTTTGCAAGTGGCGAAATTGGAGCCTGAGCAAATGAAAGTGAAGAGGAATTTCAATCAGTTTAATTTTTTGGAATATTGATTGAAACGCCTCAAACACTTGAGAATAAAACTCTCTGGTATAGATTCAAATCTTTCCATCTTATTCCTTCAACCAAGGGCAGCTACAATTGTTAATCCTAACTCACAGAATAGTTTATCCTTCTATAAAATTATCCTTCTATAAGTACGTTTTAAGAGTGGCTTGGAGGGAAGGGGACAGGGTGAATGATGAAGCAGGAGGTAGAACATTTGACTCATAACATAAGAACATAAGAATGGCCGTACTGGGTCAGACCAAAGGTCCATCTAGCCCAATAGCCTGTCTGCCGACAGTGGCCAGCACCAAGTGCCTCAGAAGGGGTGGACCGAAGATAGTGATCAAGCAATTTGTCTCATGCCATCCATTTCCAGCCTCTGACAAACAGAGGCCAGGGACACCATTTCTATCCCCTGGCTAATAGCCTTTTATGGACCTAACCTCCATGAACTTATCTAGCTTCTCTTTAAACTCTGTTATAGTCCTAGCCTTCACAGCCTCCTCTGGCAAGGAGTTCCATAGGCTGACTACACGCTGTGTGAATAAGAACTTTTCTTTTATTAGTTTTAAACCTGCTACCCATTCATTTAATTTGATGTCCTCTAGTTCTTCTATTATGGGAACTCATAGCTTCTGTTTCTGTAGTAGTAATTACATTGGAATACTTGTGTCTGCAATTGTCATGGAAGAGAGATGAGAATGTCTTGTCTGTACCTAGAAGGGATAAGATAAAGCAATTGCTTTATCAAGAACTTTTTGAGTCTTAAGTGCTCCCAATAATTCTCTTGAGACTGAGCCAAAATTTGAGCCTGGCTTATAGGTTGTGAAATACCCTTATGGTAACTGCTAATATAGCTGCAAAGTTAAAAAAAAAAAAAAATTGGAAAAGTCAAAGAATTCTAATAGTTATGAATATCATGTTTATCTACATTATTGCTTTTCTACTTCTTTTGCAAAGTACAGGAAAAGCAAGAGAGTTGCTCAGTCATGGTAATTAAACTTAAAATGATGTTTTATATATAAAGATGTTTCTATATAAAGGCGTCTGTCGTCTTAAAGAGAATTGGAAGGAGATCATATCTTAATTATGTTAAGTTACTGAGTTGTTTGACACTGTAGAGGTTATTAAATGTGTTAATTTGTCCTAGAAACAGCAAATAGCAATCTCTTGTAATGCTGTGCCTTACATCCTAGTTTGTTTTAAATCATCAACTAATTTGTTCTTGAGTAGTTACATTGAGCAGTATTTTTATTTTTATTATAACTGGTAATTGTTAGTAGGTAAGACAATTACACTTGGATTTATTTAAGGTATGAAGGTAAAATGTTTGATTTTTAAAAGCTAATAGTGGAAATGATGTAACTATATATAAATAGCCAAAATGAAAATACTGTTGTCTTCATGAGCACTAGCAAGGGCTCAGTAAGAAATTTTTCAGTATTGTAAATTCAATTATTTTTCTCCAGGGTATGAATACACAGGTGTACACATAGTTACAGACATATTGGAGCTTAAGGATTTTATGCATATTATTAAATTTGAAGCAACATATAATCTTTAGCTCTACCTACATATGCGTTTATATTGAGGAATTTCCTTGGCTGTGTTCTCAACTGAGTTCTCATTTAAGTCTAGCTTGAGAAGAGAAGCTGTCTTGTAGCAGTTTTAAGTAATCTGAATGCACAGGAGCTAATCAGCTCTGAGTAACTTGCTTGATCCCTTAAAATTTCTAAGTAGAGGCATCTGAAAGATACAAAAAGTGGCTTGCAACGTTTTCAGAAAAATATGTGGCAAAATATTAAGGTAAAAGGATTTCTGTGCTGTTCCTGAAAGCTTCACAGACTTATGCAGCTAGAAACTCTTACTAGGAGTATATTAAAAGCTCTAGCACATAATTGAAGGTAAGATACAAACTAGGGATGCGACTAGTTGCTTCTCTCCCCCCCATTACCTCCCCCTTGCTGCCTCTATATCAGAGGCAGGGGAGCAGGAGCTGGTGCTGGGGGGAGCCGGCTTAAAAGCCAATTCCCCCCCAGCACTGTCTCCGCTGGGCATGGGGGGCGGCAGGGGAGGCAGAGGCACAGGGGGAAACAGCATGAGCGGGGACTGAAGCAGTCCCTACTTGCACTGGTCCGACTGCTGTGCCTCTGCAAGAGCTACATTTCAAAGGCAGAGGCCGCGCAGCGGGAACTCAGGGCAAGCGGGGACTCAAGCAGGCCCCGCCAGCCCTGAATTCCTGTTACTTTTAAATGTAGTAAGCAGCACGGGCGGCTCTTACTACATTTAAAAGACAGAGGCGCAGGTGGGATAGCGAGCGCTGGCTCTCATCCCTTATTGACTAATTGAGTAGTTGATAGAAATTCCATCGACTACTCTATTAGCTGATTAATTGAAATGTTACATCCCTCATAGAAACTATAGAGGGTGGGGGGGGCGGATAACATCCCAAATGGCAGGTCTCGTAGAACTTCCTAAAATTTCCCAGGATTGAGTTTTTCTTCATTTTTTTGAGATTTATGGGATAATATAGATGGATGGTAGAATATTTTTTTGGGAAGGAGCTGGCACAGACTAAGCCTTCCCTGCCCCCCTGACTCAATTGCATAAAAGTGTCTCTATTTGATAGGGAATTGTGGGATTTACACTGATGATAGATAAACCCTAAACTTGCCTAGATTTTGTTCAGATGTTAACTTTGAGTTACAGGTGTGTGATGAAAACTCTCTCTTACCTCAGTTGGTGGAGCCATACCAATGCTTTCAAAGGAACCTACAACAGTAACAAAAAATCAACAATTGAATCAAGGGAAGACACCACATAATCCATTGGACTCCAGCGCACCTTTGGTAAAGAAAGGAAAGCAGAGAGAAGTCCCCAAAGCAAAGAAACCAACATCTCTTAAAAAGGTGCTCTAATTTATTGCCTCTTATTAAATATGCTTATAGAGACTAATTGAGCTATCATCATCTGTTAAATCTATTAATCTGGATTTCAGCCTTGCTCAAATTCAGTTTTAGAGATCCTTGATTTTTTTTTAAAGTCTCTGTATATGATCAAGCTTAATATATTTATCATTGTTCCAAATAATCATTCTCTGTTCTGAACTCCAGCCACTTCGTAGCACGAGGACTGTGTGTAGGAAAAGGCATTCAGATCATTGGGATGGGGAAGTGTATTAAGTACCACGTTCTCTAGTTTAGCCAAGCAGTGCTGCGTACAGGTTTGGACAGGGTGATTGCATCTCAAGCATAAATCAGGGCAGCATGGAGCTTTCTCCAATCTCTGTCTGGTTGGCTATGGGGCTTTTGTGGAAACTGAAGATATAAAGATCTCCAGGCCCCTTCCTATAGCTGTTGGGCATCCTTTTATGCTAGGACAGTGGCATAGCATAGTTCAGTTTCACCCAACGAGAGTGCTCATGGAACCTGTTAGAATGACTTAGTAACTGCTCTGCACTGCTGAAGTGTGCCTGAAAATTGTACAGTATAAAAACTATAGTTAATTTCCTGTGTGTTCCCTTGGACATCACCTCCCTTTGTTCATCAGTTTTCAGACTAAATTTAAGGGCAGGGAACCATGTTTTTTGTGTGTGTGTTCTCCATGTTTCTGTTTTTGTTTTTTAGACCTGTTGTAATAGATGTGTCGGGTTTTGCTTTTTCTTGATGCTTCTCTTATACAGACTTGTTTTTGACTGTTGAAACTGGGCTCTGTGGTGGGAGTACAGGTTGAACCTGTGTAAACTGATACTCTCTTGTCTGGCAACATCCTTGGTCCAGGATGACTACGGATGTTCCTGGACCAGTGAGTCCCAGTGGAGCGCTGATGCCTAGGAGCTCTGTGGGCTGGTAGAGCTGTGGGCTGCTGGCAGTAAGCTACCAGAAGGGCTAAGAGCACAGCTCCCCACAGTTGGGCTGCAGACCACGGAGGTCCAACCTGTAGTGACAAACTTGGATAAGTCAAAGGAGCCAGTAACCCCATACATGTTACCTGCAGCAATAGCTAGCTACATTGAGGACTGTTGCAAATACAAGGAAGGATGACTGATTTCAAGTAGCTGTCCGCTGCTGTAGAAAGAGTTGTAATGATTCATCAAACTAGATTGTGTTACATAACTGTCCTCATCCCCAGTATTCCCGTTTATTACTCTGTACCGTTACTCTTCCTTCTTCTCTGTACCCCTTCAGATTTTTCTTCCTTTACCTCCCGCAGTGGGGAGCAACACTGTGTTACAGACTGACTGGATTTTACACAGCGAGGTGGTAACGCCTAAATCCAGCAAAGTACATTAAGTGTGTATGCAGCTGGACTACGCCCACATTTTATGTTCACACCTAAGTGTTTTTATCTGCTTCTTTGTTTTCTGCCACCTTCTTGCTCTAATTCATCCCTGCTCTTCAGCTTTTCTCTTAGTCCTTGTAATTGACCACCAGAGGGCTCTTTTTTCCAGTTATGATGGTAGCCACTAGACAGCACTAGTGTTAATGCAGGTGCAGAAAGTCCATCTTTTCCCCATTGGTAAAGAGGCAGGCTAGAGCATATGTAGCTTTTGGTGTGATTCTTTACTCTTACTGGCATCAGGTTGCCTGAGCTTGGTGTGAGGGGATATGCCTACAATGAAACTCAAACCATGAGTGACATGGAGAAATTAATGTTTGTCTGTGGGCCTGATGTTAACATTCCATTGTATTGGTGCCTGCATGATACTGAATTGTTCAATTTTTAAGATTATTTTGAAAGAGAGAGAGCAGCGAAAACAGCACCTGTTAGAACAGGAAGCAGTTCCAAAAGATGATGGAGACACTGTTCATCAGTGTGAAGAATCCGCAACTGAAGATCAGACACATTCTCAGGATACTAGTACAGGTATTTCCTGATGCTGCATGTCATTGTTTTGCATTGATATGTGGGAGGATTTTTATTTATTTTTAAAGAGCCAGCTAGTTGGATTTAACACCAGGAATATCACATTGCACTGGTACTTTCTGATGAGTAGACAATATGATGTGTAGGTGGGCATATGGGTGCACTTGCACATGCTACTTTTAAAAACTTGTACAAAATCCTTGTGAAATGAAGGTTAGTGTAGGGATCAGGTTTCCACTACGGGTTTTCTAAAAGATTTTTTGCTGAGCACATTTCTAGCCCTGTTAGAAGAGTGCATCAGAGCTGATAACCTGTGTCTGTGCTGCTGGGTAATTGGGAGTCCAGTCTAACCCTTTTCTACGCACACTGGATTTACTGTATTTGTAACTTTATGTCATAGCCCTAGTAAAGCTCCTCTAGCTGGATACTCGTTGTGCTGCCGTATTTGGAAAATGGAGCTTGAAATTTGACTCAGTCTCCTAGAATCCCCAGCATCAAATAGAATTTATAAATTGTACATAGATTGCCCAAATTGTCATACAGTTCTCTACACGTCTCCTGCAGTACTACCTAACTTGAATCTAGAGATACAAAGATTCTGTAAGGTCCTCTGATCTGTTTTTCTGCCATTGTAGACCACTAACTGTTTTGTCTAGTCTGGATTATTCAGAGGGGCTTCTACTTCTACCATATTCAAAGGGAAACTACTCCACACAGGCTAATAAATCATATTGTTTGTGAGGGTTTTATTTTAATATCAGACACGTTTCCACCTTACTAACTTTAATCCATTATTCCCAGTTTAAATTTGCGCAGACAGACACGTTTCCACCTTACTAACTTTATTCCATTATTCCCAGTTTAAATCTGCACAGAGTATTGGGAGATATGTTTTATGTATGTTATGAATTTAAATTTTAAGAATTTAAATTTGAATTGAATACAGGCAGTCCCCGAGTTACACGGATCCGACTTACGTCAGATCCACACTTACGAACGGGGCTTTTCTGCAGACCAGGGAGACTCGGAGCAAAGCCGCGGAGGACCCGGGCGGGACCGCGGCGCGTCTGAGC